TCTTAAGGATTCTGTTCTTTCAGTCTCTTCAGCAGTAAAGAGTCTGGATTCTCTTTTATATAAGTTTTCAGGTGAAAAGGGTGAAAAAAGTGACAGGTGGTCTCTGAAATGCTGCAGCCATCAAGGCAAAGAGGAGAAATGCCTGGACGCCACAGCCAGATGAAAGTCAATGTCCTCACCCGCTCATACAGAGCTGTCCAGCGGGAGGCTGCCAGGGTCATGCATTGTGATCTGTCCCACAGTGAGCTGTCGCCACTTCAAAAGCAGGAGGGAGCGCTCGGCTTTTAACTCTCAGAGGCGGGTGGAGACAGGATGAGCAAGCACTCCAGAGCTCATTAATATTTGTCTGCAGATCCACACAGAAGGAGGAGTGGAGAGAAGAATCCAGGAGCTGAATGATCTCTTCTTCTCAGCTTTAGCCCTCCACCCAGAACTAAAACAGCATTTTTCTCCTCCCACAACGGTGCTTTAGCAAAACAGCCCACTTGGTGTTTCAGTATGTACAGGGTAGCGATACTGATTACGGCTGCAACTAAGGATTATTTTCAGAATCAATTAATCTGCCGATAACTTTCACGATTAAAATCGACTAAACATTTAGTCTATAAAATCAAATGTCAAGAAATTGTGAAAAATGAGGTCTTCAAATTGCTTCTTTTGTCCAACCAACAGTTGAAAACCCAAAGACTCTTCATTTACCGTCATATATGAAAAAGAATTTCAACATTTTCTTACAGTTAGGAACATTTGTGCTTAAATAAATGAGTGAAACGATGAATCAATTATCAAAATAGTTGTTGATTAATTTTCTTTCCACTGACTAATCGATTCATCGACTAATCGTAGCAGCTCCAATACTGATGTCGAATATCAAACTCTGAGCTTATCCCTGAGCTCTGAGTTGACTGAGCCTGAGGTGGGAAAGTCTGAGTTTTTGGTTCCAGAACAACTGATCAAAGTAAGTTCAATCAACTCCGAGTACGTTGAATCTGATGGAAGTGCCTGCTCCGATACTACAATTCACCATGGCAACGGGCAAATAAAGAGCAGACCCTCCATTTTAATCGGGAGGAGCTGTAAATAGTCAATACGTTAACAATAAATAAATATTACATTTTATACAGCATTGCTCATTGGACCTTTGACTGTAAAGTCACAATCAGACCCAGTAGGTTAGCATATTATTTTTTTGTAGTAGAAAAAGTGTCTAGGTTCAAATTGACAGTAAAGTTTCAGACATATATTTTACATTATAAAATCTTGCTTATTTCGTATTTAATGAAATGATGTGAAAACATATTCGGACTGCAGCTAATAATGACAAATTTGCAGCTGTGGAGAGAACACCTCTCTCCCTCGTTCTCCATTCTTCATTTAGCTACTTGGCTAACAGCGGACTTGAACAACATAAGGTCCGTTGCCACTGACCTTCACGATGGTGCGTGCTGGTAACGCAATCACGCAGCGTTACTTGGATTACTGACTGTAATATTATTATTGTTTTGGAAATAGTAATACTTTACACTACTAGTTACTGGGAAAAGTATTATTACAGTAACACGTTACTGCCCAACACTGCTGTGGACAGAGGCCTCTACAAAAAGTACATGGAAACGTTAATGTGGGCGCAAATCATTTCATAAAAATGTATTTTTAAATGTACATGAAATGTATGTGTCTGCACAGGCACATATGGACTTGATTTACATTAGTGCCGACAGCCGTGTCTATCAAATGAAAGACGAGCTACAGTATATGACACCATTTTCTGGTACCGTTACTAGGGTTGGGCGATGTCTACAAAATTTCGCGCAGACTTCACTCGGTTAAAAAAATTGGCAGACTATTAAGTTACGTTACAAGCCGCGGTGGATATTTTACGCACGGACCAGGTAAAGCAGCAGTGAACAAAACAGGGAGCAGATGTTGGTTTCAGTTGTTTGATAGGCTGCGTCATTAATAAGCCGACCTGCGGCTCACCTGCTGCCGTGATAACGGATCGCGGGTGGAAATATACGAAAAAAAGACTAGTTCTCAGTCTTTTAGGCGACTTTATAAAACATACTGCTGATGGAGAAAATGGAGCAGCCAGCGGAAGAGAGACAGAGAGAGGCGGGGGAAGCCGGGGTGTTTACCTGAGGTGTAGGTGTGTGTGAGGGTGTGAGAGTGTGTGGGGAGAAGAGAATTCCGAGGCAGGTGCAACGAATACTTAAAAACAATAATAAGAATGTTTGTGCTCATTAAAACCTGCTTTCACAGGATGGTATAATGTGAAAATTTGAGGAGTTTTTCCTGGGGGTGCAGGGGTTTACAATCCCGATGCCGGATCTGTCAGCCATCGCCAATGGCTCGATAATCGAATCGCAGCCCTCTGAATCGTAATCGAATCAAATTGTGAGGTGCCCAGAGATTCCCACCCCTATTGACAATAAAGCACCATTAAATTTGGGTTTAATTACATTGATCAAAGGTCTTAGCTGATGCGAGGCATCCGTTTGTTTTGTTTTCAGGTACTTACATGAGTGAGTGCTGAGTCGGATATATCAGAGCGACATGAACACTATTTACAAGTCACAAACTCATAATTATATTAACTCCAACATGACATGAACAAGGCATAAACTCCAAAGAACTCAACAGGAAATCATCTTAGTGACACTGGTTGCAGAGGCCACTTTTATTAAAGACCTGCTGCTGTTTCCTTTAGAAAGCAAAGTAAATTGTGATGCAATGATTTGCTCTAGAGCAAAAAAACCCCCGCTAAATCTATTTTCTGAGTCATCTGATTAACCGAGCAGCACACCTCAATAAAATATCAGCAGTAAAAATAGACAGGGCTGTTTCCGAACACAATCACAACCTTTGTGAACAGAGATCGTGGAAGAAATAGGTGGAAAATAAGCTCTAAGGTGGCTCATTATGGCTGCAGACTGCTGCATCTTACAGTGACATCTTTTTCTACTCCTTAGATAAATATAATAGATAGATAAAAACTATATTACTATTACAGGGAGGCTAATACCCTCTAATTCCTACATTACAAGCAACCAATATTAGACAGATCAAGGGCTGGAAATCACAGCAGATACATCATATTATTTCAAACACTGAATCACTGCATAAGGTCAAATTAAAGGTATAGTAAACCAAAAGTGTAAAATTACATAAGCACAGAAAACCAACTCGACAGGTATACTAATTTCATTGGGGAACAAAGAGGCAGTGGTGCATCTCTGGTGTTTGTTTTGAATACTGGTTTCATTGATGGTGGAGATGACAGGTCGAGATGCTAAAACAACTAAGACATCCGTCACATGAAGAATGAGGAGTAAAAAAAAACACAAAGTTATATGAACGGAGGAAGATATTACATATACATAGGCAAGCGATGTCAAAATCCAAAAGTGGATGATGTCATACTTGTGTTACATGGCGATTCTATGGGGTCGGTCACCCTGCCAATGCGTGGCAAGTCAACTGACATATAGCACGATGTCATTAGTGTTGCACTGGCACATACCACTCCGACTGGCATGTCGTATTCTCGGTGACAAATGCCACTGTTGGTACAGCTGCATGCCACCTAAAAACAGCATCTAGTTCCACTGGCAGGTGCCACTTTTCACCAGCAGGACACTGCTGGAGTTAGCTTCTGATTAGCCATTAAGGGAAACTCAGGTCCAGATCAAAAGCCACTATGCCTAGAGCTGTCAAATCCGGACTTGATTTTCCCAAAGAGGCTGGAGAGTCTTTATAACGCAGTTTCATATTTGTGAAACCATTCATTCTATTTGTGAAAATTACAATTTATGTGTTTTTTCGCATGTAGACCACATTAGACCAGGTCCAGATCAAAAACCAGACTCTGTCTAGTTGTCAAATCAGGACTAGATTATTCCACAGAGGCTAAGGTTTCTACCAGCAGGTAGCAGGTAAGTAGACACCTGCCACTCATGGGATGAACGCTATCTGTCAGCGGAACAGGGACATGGTACATGTAAGCCATCATAACATATCAGTGGGAAGTGGTATGTGCTAGTGTAACACCAAAGACCTGCAGGTTAAAGTGCCAGCCACAAAGCACCAGTCAAGGAGAGTGGTATCTGCCAGCAGAACACCAGTGACATGCTGTTTATAAGAGCCATGAGCCAGCAGAACTATAATCAGCAGTAGAATAACGTCACCATCGTCAAGTAATTCTTGATAAAAGTTAAGATAATTAACCAACGGAGCTAAGGCGCTATATTAGGTACTGTATAAAAGGTTAACGTTACCTAGTTATTGCTCTGCTGGTCCACCTGTCACCGTCCGTGTCAAGGAAGAGTAATAAACAACTACTGCAAACATGAACAGTGACCATAAACCGATTCATTCATGCACAGTTACTTCACATATCTAAAGATCGGCTACAACAAGTTAACTGTTAGCTTAGTTAGTTAGCCTGCTAGCCAACTTTAGCAAACACTCACGTTACCAGTCAAGGCACATAATGATCTTACATGACAGGTATACATATCAGACTATATATAGTGTTGAAGTAAGCTAGTGAACAAAGGAAAACTGTAAGAACGCGTAGCGACCGAGCTATAAGTTACCCTGTTCTGTCGTTCAGTCGAACGTCAAGTGAACTCCATTCAAAAATCATTCGCTTTAAAGTTGTATTGATTCTCTGCAGCCATGCATCGAAAATAGAAGATAATGTACATGTTTTTATGACTAAATAAACGAAATTGGCAAATTCGGCAAACATACAATCCATAATGCAGCACGTTATTTAAATAATATTTCAAATTTCCCCTCGGACTGCATGCCATGGAAATTAGCATGATTTGTGGGGAACGGAAGACTGCGAGCACCAACAAAACAACACAAAAACAACTACAACATTTCGGATACAGTTAATAAAAGGACAATCGTAGTGGAATGACCATCTTTAGCAGTCATTATGTGGGGAACGGAAACACACCATTACATGCTGATAATAAAAGAGGAAAACTTACGGCTGCAGTGGTCCGGTTTGTTTTCCCTCGCTTGGTTTCGAATTGACAGGCTGCTGTAATGCGCATGCGTGGATAAATAAACGTTAGCAAGGGAAAGTATTGAAAGTAATAAAATGAATACAATCATAGAAACAATTATTTAAAAACAAAATAATAAAACTTTAAAAAATGCCACATTTAAAATTGTTTAAATATGTAATTACAGAAAATCCTCACAAGTCATACATATAAAAAACATTGTTTTACTAGGCCTACTTTAAGTTGTGTTTAATCAGTAAACTAAACACGTTCTTTTTTTCTGAACCTTTATTTTAATTGTTTTTATTGTCAAACTGAAAAAAAGTCCCTCCACATTCATCTCTTAATCTTGAAATAAGAGTTCATCTGCTCTCAGTGACTCATTTCAACGTTTATACTTAAACTGACATTGTACTTTTTAAGTTCTTCAAATCATAAATTCTTCCACATCCACTGTTCATACAGATGGATACATATATATTCCACCTGCTTTCAGTGCTTACACTTCAACAATATCTACCTGACAATAATACACTCTAACTGACACTGAACTGATAGTAACTCCTATGAGGAATTCCACTTCAACTGAACCATCCAGTTCAATTTGTCACTAAAACTTCAACTAACATTTCAATTCCTTCCAGCACTGAAATTGAATTGAATATTTAACTGGCCAATCACAGCACAGCATAGGATTCGCTCAAACTATGGTCCGACCTTTTTATATACAGTCAATGGGTCCGACACTTTCATGGCTACGCTCAATTGTCGCCAGCGTCTTTTTTCAATTCATTGCGATGGGAGCGCCACGTTTTTAGAACATGGTAAAAAACGCAAAATGCAAATGCAAAAAGAGTCGTTTTCTAGCTTGATATGGTCGCTAGAACGCTGTTCCTGGGGCACTTGGAACAGTTACAGTCGCTACCGGAGAGGTTGAAAGGAGAAGTACGATTTATTCTCTTTCCAAAACCTAAAATAAAATAAAGAAAAATGTCGACTGTGGATTGATCCTAATGTAATGTTAGTTAGCTAACGCAAGCTAACTTCCTACTGAATGTAACGTTATAAAGCCCTACTGTTCTGCTTTTTAATGATTGTAATACTGAATAGAGGCCTACCCAGCTCTACAGGAACAGTGTTGATCCTTAATATCGTTGTCTTTTGTCTCAGTCGTCGGGGGATGTGATGGTCTGTTTGAGTCAGTTTGAGTCAGTCTGACAGCCTGAATACAAACTTAAAATTTTTAAATAATGCAACTGCAAAACTGTCTGCTTCTTTCTGTGATCACTTTTCCCAACACACTTGACAATATTTCTCTGGGGACTTAGCAACAGTGACTGAGGGGGGCGGGGCTTAGCGAAGGGTCAATTTCTTTCAGTGATTCAGTCTTAGCTATTACTGCCATACGAACGCATTTCGAAGCTGAGAACTCAAACGTTTTCAGACATTTGCAGCAAAATTTTAGCAGTGAGTACACAAATTACCCAGACTGTGGTAAATCAAACTCCAGGCTTAATTACATCTGTAATTAAAATATTTTTCTATAATTGCACTGAAGGTACCCTTTCCACAGGTTCACTCTGCACTATGTGACAGCAGATTTCTGTTTTGGCCGTATGACAGGAGTATGCAAACAGGAGTCTGTCAAGTGCAGAAGGTGCGATACTGGCATCAGTATCGACATCAGGCAGGTATATGCCAGCGTCCAAACACTTGACTGCAGTCACTGGAAGTGACAGCTTCCCATTCAGTGACTCCATCCCCTCCCCCTTACAGTTGGTGTGTTTGGAAGGCATTTCTGCAGCACTCTGTCCTGCCAGGAGTCAAAATAATGTTATCTGCTGAAGTGCAGATGTCACCAGCATCAGAAACCCAACCTAGTAGAGTGTATGTCCTTTTCAACACCACTGAGTGTCTGGTCTGAGATGACATGTATCTTTGTTATGTTTACTCCCTTCATGTGTGATCGACCCTGGCCTGTTCATCAGCTGTCATGTTTAAACAGGTTGTTATGACCCTGGGGTCATATTTTGTGATTTATTTATCTCTCCCTGCACTTTCAGCTGTTCTCCTGTGTGTGTGTGAGTGTATGCAGGTAATAGAGAACAGGTGGGCACACAGGATTGGTACTGCAGAGCTGTTTGGAGCCTCCTGATTGGTCACCTGGATGACAGCAGCCATCTTAAGCCCCACTGACAGGAACTCCTCTCTCTCTTTGCCATTCCCAACCTGAGCCTGTGTACTGTGTGTTATGTCTGTGTTCATTGTAAGCAGAGAACTGTTGTGAGTATATTAGCTGTGTAGTGAACACATTAACTTTGAATAGCTTACCTTTGTAATTCTGATTGTTGTTGACAACCTTGTTTTGCTGGCTTTAGCCATTTTTGTTTGCTATATAGCAATTTTCTTTGGTGTAGCTTTATTGTGTTAGCTAGTAGTGTGTAAGAGTGAGAAGCCCTTTTTGTTTGCACCATTTTTCTCCTGTCTTTCATAATAGGAGCCTAGTTTAGAGCTTTGTCTTATTTACTTTTTGGTTTAGGAAAGTTCTAGGTTTTCTTCATTTGTTCTGGTATTGCTTGGGAATGGTAAGATTGGGAAGCAACACATTTATGTTACATCCTGGATACCCCTAGACCTTGGGATGTAACAAGGTACATTGGTGATGTAAACCTTTATTTCTACTTGACAATAAAACACTTTAACTGATACTTGAACTGATAGTAATTCCCATCAGGAATTCCACTTCAGCTGACCCTCCCAGTTCAATTTGTCACTAAAACTTCAACTAACATTTGAATTCCTTCCAGCACTGAAATTAAATTGAATCTTTCACTCCTTTTTTGACATGAACTGACTGCAGTCAATTCTGTTTCAACTTCCACTTCACTTTCTTTCAGTGATTCAACTTCAGTTATTACTGCAATACAAACACATTTTAAAGCTGAGGACTCAAACATTTACAGACATTGACGCTATTTCAAATATTTTGACTGTAAAATTTCAGCAGTGAGTACACGAATTACCCAGACTGTGGTAAATCAAATTCCAGGCTTAATTACATCTGTAATAAAAAATTTTTTTTTCCATTATTGCACTGAAGGACACCTTCCAAAGGTTCACTCTGCACTATGTGACAGCAGGTTTCTGTTTTGGCTGTCTGACAGGAGTATGTCAGCAGGGGTCTGTCAAGTGCAGAAGGTGTGATACTGACATCAGTATCTACATCAGGCAGGTATACCCCAGTGTCCAAACATATAAACCTGTATCCCCTTATTCTCCTGAACTTGCAAAGTTTGAACTCTTAAGGACAATTTAAAAGTTGGTGGACAACAGTTTGTGTAAGTACACTAACAGCTGCACCCACAGTCACCAGTCTGTCAAGCTCCTTAAGTTTGCAGATTACACCACCCTCATTGAGCTCATCTCTGATGCCTGTGGCAGTTGAAGAAGTTCAGCCTGCCAAAGACAATGGTGGTGCACTTCTACACTGCCATCATTGAGTCCATCCTCACCTCCTCCATCACCATCTGGTACACTGCTGCCACTGGAGGAAAGCTTGCAACTGACTCCTCCCACCCTGGACACTGGACTGTTTCAGACTCTCCCCTCTGTCAGGCTGTGGTCCATCAGGACCAAAACCTCTCACCACAATAACAGCTTCTTCCCTTCTGCAGCTAGCCTAATTAACAAGGCCCAGGTCCCTCACTGACACTCCCCCCTTCCCTCTCAAATACTGTATATCTTTGCACATATAAATATTTCATTTCACATCATTGCACATTCCCAGTATATTGTACATATTTGTTGTTTTTTGTTAAGTGTTATTAATTAATATTAATTAAATGTTATTCTTCTATATTTTGTCAATCTATCCCATATTTATATATTTCTACATTTATTTATGTCAACTACATGTTTGTCTACGTGTAGCACCTTATCTCCAAAACAAATTCCTTGTATGTGTAAAAACTACTTGTCAATAAAGCTCTTTCTGATTCTTATATTGTGAAAGGTCTTTTGTCTTTGCACAATTCCTTGCCCCCCCCCGAGTGTACCAGAGGTTTCTGAAAATCTAAATTAGATCCTGCTGCACTAGAAGAAAACCAGGATGACCAGGAGTACCAATATCATTAGGAATCATCCTCTGGTGAGCATGTATAACCAGAGTAAATTTAACATCAATCTGTCAAGTAATTATTGAGATATCCTTCTGTGGATGAACCTGGATCAATCAGCATCATCATGCGCTGGGCAGAAACAACAACTTCCCTCTCATCAAACAGCAGCTCCGCTCTGAGCCATCACCAGTGTCATATTCATGTTACATTATAGATGGAAACCTCAGAAGCTTTTACAACCAGATTACTGACTGTTTAATTAAATTGAAAAATGCTCACCACTCACAGAGCCTGTGATAGAGAGCATAATTCTGCTGCTGTATTAGCAGGAGACTCATTACTCACCACTAATGAGTTTCTCCTGCAGAGACACACCACAGCAGCAGGCCCGAGGTTCTACTCCTGCTTTATGTTTCTAATCAACTGTCCTCCTCTGTGAAGAATATCACCAATAAACTACACACGTGAAGCTGTCTTCCAGATGGAAAACAACAACTTCCATATTGTTCTATTTGGTCCTTTTGCTGCCTGGGGGAGAAAGGGGGATCATTAGCTGGTCCTGATAGATGCTGTTCACACTGACCACAGGATCATGGTGCTGCCGCTGCTGTTAGGAAATGGGAATCTGACCCCAAATGTCTAAATGGTTGTGTTGCATCGCCACCATATAGTTTAAACATTTCATGTTTCAGAAGTTTCAAACTGGTAGATTTTGTGCTGTTCATGTTTCTTCATTTTTCATGGGTATGGATTTTACTGAATCACCATTTGGTTTGTCTTTAAGAGCTCCGTGTTCTTTGAAAAAATATGTTGTGTGGTCAAACCATGTCTTGGTGTTTCTACACGTGCAGAATTTCCACACTGGAAGGATGAAAAGGATGCTGTTACAGTCTACTCCAACATCCCGCTGCCTCCCCA